GTCTGATCGATCGAACTTTTGTTGGCAGCGAGCTGTCTTATTCCTGCGCGCGCCCAAAACTCCCACCTACCACATAGTACGGGATTAGATATTTTTGGAGCTATATTCCTGACTGAGTGACTAAGAAAAGGACCTTCTATATAAATGGAAGTGACCCATTTTGTAAAGAAGCTTTTATCATTTTATTTTTTACATTGTAATTTATATTTCTCTCTCTAGAAAGTTAGAGATTAGGGTTAGAAGAAAAGAGGGAAGTGGAGGCACATCTCAAAGACCCATCTCTAGATCCACTCTTTCTCTCTCTCTAGAGCTTCAAAGAAGAAGAAGAAGAAGATGGAGCCCTGTTTGGAGCTTGCCCTTGAGGGTTTCATGACCACATTTACCTCCTCCATGATTGGCTAGATCTACACTTAGGGCTTGGATGAGTCCTAAGTCTTGTGTAGTCTAAACCCTTGTATTTCTATTTTTGGGGATTTATATATATTGTTGTGATTAGTGTTCTACCCTTGTGAATTTAATGAATCTTGGTATATTTCTATGATTTCTATGGTTTAAGTCTTCCTATTAATTCTCTAGTTTATTTACATGTCTATGTGTGATTAAATTAGGAATTATTTCTTACATGATTCATATGGATTAATTCTTTCTATTGATTCTCTATTTTAATTACATGTTGTTTTATGTGTAATTATTTGGGGAATTGATCTCTACACTAGATTCTCTATGTTGGTTGCATGTCTATGTGTGATTAATTAAGGATTTAGTGATGGCTAAGCATGGGTTTTCATTGAATGGGTTTGTAGATTAATTTGATGGATTATACTTAGGCTTGATGAGTTGTTCTACAATTTAATTCATGCTTGTAGGTAGGTAGAGAATCTATACTTGATTTGATATTCCATGGCTTATTATTGTAAATTCCATGATTCTTTAGATTGATGTGTGCTACAATTGTGACTGGTTTGATGGGTCATGCTTAGATTTGATGGGTTGTTCTACACTTAGTTTATTTGTTGGTTAGGTAGACAATTCATACATGAATTTGATGGTTCATGCTTAATACTGCAATTGGTAGTCGCATTTTGTTCACAACAATGTATTCCCCATTAATGGAAAACAAGTGGTTAATTACATGAGCTTAGTGGTGATTCCAACACCCTAAGACCTCTCTTCATATCTCTTAAATCCCTATCTCTCACTAGTTTACTTTTCTTGCATTTTAATTAATTGAATTTTAGTTTAATTCAAACAATCAATCTCTCCTTTGCAATCTTGTGATCCACTAGAGTCAAAGTTAATTTCCAATACGTATAATCCCTTGGGACGATCCCTACTCACTCTTGCTACATTAGTAGTAGTGTTGGTAGTGATTTTTATAAATTTAAATTTGACCTAAAAGGCTTTTCTTGAACCGCACATTCATTACATTATTTTGACATATATAAGCAGCCTCGTCAAATTTTGGCGCCGTTGTCGGAGATTAACGGTTTTGTTTGAATTAAACTAGACAATAGTATTCATTTGATTGCTTCTATTTTTATTTTATTTTTCATTGTATATTCTTTTCTCTTGTTCTCATTATTATTTGTTCAATTAGGTACTTGACCACAAGGAAGGCAAACTTTGGAACTTAAAACAATCTTTGGAGCTTAAAGCTAATATTAAAATTTCAAGTTCCTTAAGGACCGTTGTGAGCAATTTTTGGAACTTTTGTATTTTAATTGTTTCACTTCTTTGCATGCTTGTGATAACCCTTATTAAGGCTTATTTCATTACTTTATTTTAAGTCCAAGCATAGGCCCTTGTTGAGGCCAATATTTTCTTGCATTTGGATTTTAATTGTGAATGGAGGAATTGTTTGATCCAAGTATGGGGGAAAATTATATCCCTTCACCTTATACTCCTCCATCATATTTTAATCTTTATGAGATTGAGTCCAATTCATTTCATGCATCATCTTATTATAGACTTGATCACTCATTTAATCCTTCTTATGACTATTACCCTCCCCCACCATTTTATGATGAACCAATTCTACCACCTTTTAGGTACTCACCCGGATTTGAAGAAAAAGTGTTAGCTTTACTTGATGTGCATATTTCACAAGCTCCACTTACTAATTCTCATTCTCAAACTTTAGCCAATTTAGAAGCTCAAGTTGAGCAAATTGCAAGTACTCTTTCTCATCAAGAGGAGGAGGAAAAGGCAAATGAAAAAATGGCAAGAACTTCGATGTATATAGATGAGGATGAGGAGAGTGAGGAAGAAGTAGCAAGTGAGCTAATGCCTAGCACTCTATCTGTATAGAGGAAGAAGTAGCAAGTGAGCTAATGCCTAGCACTCTATCTGTATAGAGGAGGAAGTGGCAAGTGAGTTAGTGGCTAATCCAATATAGCATAACATGATTAATGAGGACTTTCCTTATTTTGATTATGATTTTATCTCGGACATTACTACTTTAGAGAGTGAGGAGATGTTGACCACACTTGGGGTAGGAGAGAAGGAGGAGGAACTCGTTGAAGAGGGCCTTCCTTTTATTATCTCCAATGACCCTCTTGAGGAATGCCTTTTTGAAATGTATAAAAATTGTGATTTTGACCTTGAAAGCTCCAAAAATGAAATAAACTCTCTAATGGACTCCTTAGCTAACTTGGAAGGTGAGGAGATGGTTATTTTTTAGGAAGAGGAAAATGATAAAGAGAATATGTTTCTTAATATTCCAAATGAGTCTTTGAAAGACATTGACTTGCCAATTCACATAGGAAGTGATTCTTTGAATACACTTCAAGAGCACAAAAATGAGGCAAGGCTAACCATGATTGATTTTGTTTTTAAGACCGTGGATGAAAGGAACAATATTATCTCTTTCATTTCTTTTCAAGTTATTCTTTTGGAGGATGATTTCATTGTTATAAGTGAGGCATCAAATGAGAAAAGTGAAAAGAGGGTCAATAAAGATGTTTCATATCCGGTTTTTGATTATTTTGATTAGTGAGTTGACCTAACGTCTTGCTAGAGACGTTAAACACTAGTATTCATTGAGTTTTCAACTCCATTTCTTTTTATTATTTATTTTTATTTTTTGTTTTTGTGTACATTCTTCTATCCATTTTTTAATCTCTATTTTTGTTACCATCATTGGGGCTTAACATAGGGTTTTCTGCACTTTCATGTTGAAAATTGAGCATTTTGCATAAGTTTGATCGATCTCAAATGAGAGTTCGATTGATCGAACTTTATTCCTGCAGCAAACCTGCATCCAAATCACTCTCTGTCTCATCGATCCAAGAAAATCTTCAGCAGTAATGCACTAGAGAGAATAAAAGATAGAGAGAGATCTTGGGATTTAGAAATCACCACTAAGCATAGCTTTTCTACACCTTTAATGAATGATTAATGAGAGGAAGAACATGTATTGCCACAAAGTGTGTGTGTGTGGTTGTTTCAACAAGCATGGATGACAAATTAAGTATATATTGTCTAAACAACATGGTGGATAACACAACATATCAAATTAAGCCATTAATCCTTTCTTTAAGCTCACAATCCAAACACATCACAAGGTTAGAGATATATGTTACTTGCTTTTCATAAGTATGGAACATCAACAACAAGCATGAATTGTCCTCCCATTTAACAACTACGCTACAACTAAGCTAATGGCATGAAATTAAACTAATTAAACTAAGGGAGAGGCACAATCCATCAAGAAATGAGTATGAACCATCAAATAAACCACAAGAACATGACATTAAGCACTAAGTCTTGACAATCTCTAGATCTATAGCATCAACACACATAGACATGCATCAATAACACAAGAAATAGAGACAAACACATGAATATCTATTCTAGCATACATAGACATATGGATAGAATGAAATGATTAATTGGAAGCATTAAACCATATAAATCATTGAAGAAACAAGATCTGTATATATAAAAGTGTCAAAACATGAATTACAATACAAATCCCCTAAAAAATACATAAATCAAGAAATAGAAAGCATGCTTAGGGCTAATTCTAGCCCCAAGAGGATGTCTAGCCACTCATGGATGATATCCTCCAACCCTCAAGGGCAAGCTCCATGGAAGAAATCTGTTCTTTGGTTTTTAGACAAGAAATCAACTAGCTGTCGTTTCTCCTCCTCTGCAAGCCTTGACCTTACTCTTGTGGTTCTGTTTGGTCTCAGAGGATCAATCTGCACATCCATGAGGGGTTTTTCAGCAAGGACCAAAGGCTCTTCCTCCTCCCCAACCTCTTTGGGTGGAGGCCCCTGTAATTGCTATCTCGGGTTATCAGATCGGATAGACGCTTTTCCTTTCCCGCTGATTTTCAAAGTTACAGAGTAACACTCTTTAGCTGCTACTTGGACTCCATGGATATCAATTACTTTGCTCCCATTTGGACTTAAGCATTTCATTACCTGGTGCAAAGTCGATGGGATACCTCAGACTCCGTGAATCCACCCTCTTCCCATCAAGAGATTATAAGATGGGTGAATCTCAACAACTACAAAGCTTTCCATCAATTCTTTCTCGGTAGCAAGTACTGGCAACTCGACCATACCGATAGGCTCCACCCACTTACCATTGAATCTTAACAGTAGATTTCCTGTCGGTTTGAGCCTTTCTGATTCAATCTCGAGCCGGTCAAACGTTACTCTTGTCATGACATTTGCGCTGCTCCCCGAATCAATCAAGACTTTTCGAACCAAACATTCTGCTACCATCAGGCTAATGACCAGGGGATTTTCATGAGTGACTTGAACTTGTAACAGATCTGTTCTGTCAAACCTTATCTGAACTAAGTTATTATGTTGGTGCTGAGCGTTTACACTGCCTATCCTCCTTTTTATTTATGCTTGTCGAAGATGCATTTGAAGCAGTTTTTCTGACTCTTCAGTCAGCTCAGGCCGGCCATGAATTGCAATTATTATGCTAATAGGCTGAGCATTATGGTAGTTCGGCTTCTGATTTCTTTTCACTTGCTCAACTGGTCAGTTTTGCTCTACTGCTGGTCCTTGAAGGTAGCTAGCGAACTCTCCCTTTGCTATCTGCATCTCTAATTGTCTTCTTAAATTCCTGCATTCATTAGTCAGATGTCCAAAATCACTATAAAAAGCACAATGTTTGGATTGATCTCTTTGTTCGAGCGGTTGTTTAATCGGTAGGGGAGGGCAAAACTTATCTTTATTTTCCTGGAACAACCTCACCAAGCTAACTTTGAGTGGAGTGATCGATTTTTCCTCCCTAGGCCTCTTTTCTGCTTTCCAGGGGGTTGGACGCTGTGGCGCAACTTGGTTTTGCCTAATCTTCGTTCTGGTCTTCTCTTCCGTTGTGACCATAGATGTCTTTCTTGCATTGGTAGCTTCTTCTTCCTCTAAGTGCACAAAACAATCAGCTCTCTGGTTCAGCTCATCCATAGTCGTCGGTGTATTCACCACAAGATTTGTGTGGAACGGTGTCCCTCGGTTCATGGCCAGTTTGAATGCTTGAACCACCATGGATGGATGACACTCTATTACCATGCTTTTTTCTATGTTAAACCTTGTGAGAAAAGTCTGGAGACGTTTGCCTTCTAGCTGTTTCATTGTAAACAGACTTGATATATCCTTGACTGGCTGCTTATTTCCATACTGGCTTATGAATCTATCGCATGAGTTCTGGAAGCTTTCCACCGATCCTCTTGCCAAGTTCTTGAACCAATTGAGCGCTGGTCCGGTTAGGCTTGTAGGAAGAACTTTGCACATTAAAGGATCATTTTCTGTGTTCAGAGCCATTTTTAGCTGAATATGATAAACATGCTCGATTAGATCGCTCGTTCCATCGAACAAAGTAAAAATTGGCATAGAGAATTTTTTTGGATTTGGAGCATTCAAGATCTCATTTGTAAATGGTGAATTGACAGTCTGAGCTGCCGAATGGAGGGCTTCATTTTCCTTCGGGAGTATCTTTTGCTCAACAGATCTCTTGCCTGAACTCCTGTAATCATACATAGCCATTGACGGACGGTAGATTAGATCAAACGTCCTTTCTTCAGTTGACTCCCTCTGTCACGATGGCATAGCCTTATTATGACTGAACTCTATGGCCTCTTCTCACCTGATCCTTTCTTGATATGGATCGAACTCCATGGCTTCGTCTCACTTGATCCTTTTGCGACGCGGATCAATCTCCATGGCTTCTTCTTGCCTTATCCTTTAACGATGCGGATCCAGATAGACAGATCCTTCTCGATCTTCTATATAATTGACATTCGGCAGAAAATCTTCTGGCCTGAACTTTTTGCGGCACAGATCCAGGCGAATGTTTCCTTTTTGTTCGTCCTGGTGAACATCATTTGGCTGTAAAACTCTTTCTCCTGTCGAAGGCAGTCGTGGAACAGCTAAAATTTCTCGCTACTCCATTCCGGCTTTCAATTTCGTATTTTCTCTTCTTAGAGCCTTAATCATGCTCATTAATTCGTCAAGCTTTGTGTGTTGCTTATTTTCTTGTGGATATGAACTCTCATCTTCGATCATCATTCTTGATCAGAGCAGAGTCATTAACTGTTAAATTTTGAATAGATCTGAATTATCCTACCGTGAATTCGTCAGATCTGGCCTCTATTCAACCAAATCTCAATCTCCGTCGGCTGGATCTGAACTTTTCTGTAGTGAATTCGTCAGATCTGGCCTTCGCTTGGCCAAATCTTGATCTCCGTTAGCTGGATCTAATTTTTCTATAGTGAATTCGTCAGATCTGGCCTTCGTTAATCAAGATTAAACCGCTGCAGAATCGATCATGATCTTCTCAGGTCTGAGTCTAATTTTAAGAAATCAAGCTTCAGCTTTGCGGATTAATCTTGATTCTTCGAAAGAATGATCAATTTGCTTAAGCGAACTCGATAATCAACTGGATCCTTCTTTCAATTCCCACAGACGGCGCCATTGAAGATGCAATCAACAAACTCTCTCAATTTGGAAAGATAACTCTTTACACTTCAAAATATTTCAACTGTTTTTCCCCCTTTTTTAATTCTATTTATAGACTTTTACAATTATTCTAGAAGCTTCTTCTTCAGTTCTTCATGTTGGACCGATCTTTTGGGCTCCTTCTTGACATCGGCCCATTTCCTTTTGCTTTTAGATTGGGCTTGAGGTTTGTCTTAGTGGATATTGGGCCTGATGGGTGGTCATCCAATCAGGCCCAATGTTCTTTCCAAACCCAATCTTTAATAATATGGGTCGTACCCGGCCCAGGCTATTTTCGGTATCTTCAATTCAGAACCAAAATCAATAGATGGTTGTGTTCTCCCATGGGATATGTTAAGTTGAATGCTAATGCTGAGATATGTAAGGAAGCTGTTGTAACATGTGGGGGGTTTTGCGATTTTTGAAGGTTTGAGCAAGTCAATGTTCCTTCTCTAGCATATCGAGTCTGTGGTTTAGAGAAAATGTCACGCCCTGAATTTTTAGACTCAGAAACCCGAGTTGAGGAATGTAGGAATTAAGAAAAACTAAGTGATGTTACTTTTAAAAAATGATCACAATTACTCTATAAATTCATATTTTAAATTTCTGAAGAAAAAAAAAAAAACTTTTCCTTGAAAAGTTCGATTAGTTGCAAATTTTATCAATATGTCTACATAAATTTGAACCTGTAAAAGAGATAAAAACCTGAATAAAATCCTTGAATTCCATAAGCAACACATTTAAAGACTATACTCATAACTTTGGAAATAAAAGATATTCCATTCATAACTCATACTCAAACCAAATTTATAGTTAAGTTTTAATGTACATGCTTCCCAAAACTAAAATATTTAAATATGAAATTTACAAGCCTTTAATTACATCACCAAATATTACAAATAAATCATTTACATTCAAGACAAGTAATCCCAATAAAACTCTTCCTTATGTAGATTAGGCATGTAGAAAACACTACATATCAAGGACTAATCATTCATCCTTGCCCACCTTTCTGAACAAATATGGGGAGTAATTTAAATATGGGTAAGTGCCAAAAACCCTTCTGATATATAGGGTTTGTGCAGAACTAGTCCATACTTTTTGAATATGTGCATATTAGTCCATAATATTCAAAAAAGTTACAAATAAACCTCTCTGACCACTTTTTGACAATAAGTAAATATGAAAATCTTATTTTACCCTTTTGATCCCTATTTTGTCCCTCACCCATATGTGCATATAAACCCCCCTAATACCCATTTCGTCGCCCCTCTCTCTCTATATTTCTTTCTTTCTCCATATCTACATATTATTTGTTGCCAAAAATCTCGATTACAAGTACTTCGTAATGAAACCTAAATTAATTGATAAAAAATATAATAAAAACTGATAAGTATAATAAAAATATATATAAAAAAACACATATATACGTACTGATATAATAAAACTGATAATAATAAAAACTATAATAAAAATATAAAACTGATAATATAATAAAAAATATAATAAAACTGATAATATAATAAAATATGATAATATAATATAATCTGATAATAGAATAAAAAACTGATAATAAAAAAAAATAATCTGATAATACATAAATAAAAAAATATAATAAAACTGATAATATAATAAACTGATAATATATTTAAAAATAACAATTTGATAATATATATTTAAAAAATATAATAAACTGATAATATAATAAAAATATAATAAGTTCATAATATAATAAAAATATAATAAAAACTGATAAGTAGATGAATGATATAAATATAATATATATACACAGATGTATATACGTACTGATAATATATATAGATATATAATTATATATGCACACAAAACACATGCATGAGTAACAATATGTATAGTCACGCATATACATGTATTGAGAGAGTGAACAAAAAAAGGAATAACGTATGGGAGACAAATTTGGAAAGAGATTTGTTTACAAACCCATTTAAGAGAAGCTATAAAAAGAAATAGTGACACAGATAGATATTTAGAGAGATAGAGTTTTTGGAAGGGATTTCAGAAAGTATTCATGTATTTGAAGCTCTGATATGTAAAGCCATAGTGGGGAGGAGGCGGCATGGGTAGTGAGAGGAGGTGGGAGGAGGCGGCGGCCATGGTGGGGAGGAGGCGGTATTGGTGATTTTGGGACTGTTGGTTTCGGTTTTTATTATATCCAGTTTTAGGTTTCTTTGGTTTAGCTTATCCCAATTTTATGCAAATTGAGGTTTATTTTATTCTTATCCTAAACAAACACAATTTTACATAAATTAGACAAAAGGGTCATTTTACATGGCCTGTATTTATAGTTATTAATTTATTCAACTGAAGTGAGGGTATTATCGTCATTTTATACCATACAGGGACCTATTTGCACAAAATTGATAGTATATCGAGGTTTTATACCATAAAGAGATAGTTTGCACTATATCGATAGTAGAGGAGGGTTTTTGCACTTAACCCTTTAAATATAGGGGTGAGCTTACATAACTAAGTAAGAAAAACAATATACTAAATTATATATTACCATAATATGCAATATAAACACAAATAGCAAACAATATGATTTAAATGTTGGGATAATATAATTAAAGACAGAAGAATAAAAATTTGAACCCAACTAAACCTAATGTAACATCTTATTAAGCTTGTGATTCAAACCTTTAAGACCCTTACTTAAAGTCTTTTATTAACATGTAATGCATAAATCCTTTTTGGAACTCTCACTCAGGGACCGTGCCTTCTATTGGGACTCTCACCCAGGGACCGTGTCCCTTATTAACGCGTACTTCCTTTTTTGGATTCTCACCCAGAGACCATGCCCCTTATTGACACATATTGATTTGTTATGACAATATATCCATTTAGCCAAAACTTGTGCAACTTTTCTGTACAATCCACCCCAATGATGCCTCATCAAAACCCCACCAATACCACCTCTCCTCAATTGAAAATTCAATGTAGCATAACTTAAAAAAATACAAATTAGGTTAAAGCCATTGTGCACTTGGCGAGGCCTTTAAAAGGGAAGAGGGACTAGGAGGGCTAGAGTCGGTAAAAAAATAAAAATAGAAACTAAATAGATAAATACAATCTGGTGATTGGTTGTTTTACTTTGTTTATATATATATATATATATGTTGACCCTAAGAACTAATTTTGATGATCACAAACCATTAATGATGTTTTAAGGACTAATGTTTGCCTTGAGATCATATGACAGATAAATCATTTGAAGTCCCAAAGTGGAAAAGAAATCAAATCTAAGTAAAATCAAGCACGACACATCTCATGCAATCCAAGGATAAAGAAATTCAAGTCATTCAATCCCAAACCTTCAAAGATGAAACATGAAGATGGAAATGGAAAGTGATCAAGACTGGCAATTCAAATAGGGTAGATAGGTTTGATGAGTGCTTTAGATTCAAATGTCAAAGTAATTTATGAATTTCATGAAGCTCATATCCTAGGATCATTTATTCACAATTTTATGCTAAATTAAATAAAGATAACATTATGTATGATACAAAACTTAATATTGAAAAACTAGCACAGAAAAACAGAGAATGAACTTCACATTGAAAGTGCTTCGGTCGACCGAAGTAAAGAGTTAGTCAGCCGACAGAGAAAATAGAGAGTTGGGTTTTGGCCAACAGACGTTTCGGCCGACCGAACATGAGGGTTCAGCTGACCAACAAGGGTTTCATGTAAAAGGTCTCTCAGGTTTAAAGCATTAGCCGACCAAAGAATGATTATCAGCCGACCGACAAGAGGCCTCACAAAAATAGAGAGATGAGGTTTTTCAACCCATCGTTTCGGCCGACCGAAGATGGGTCATCAGCCGACCGACAAAGGACTCATCGGCCGACCGAAGGTATTCCATCAGCCGACCGACATAGTCACAATTTTAAATGCAATGACTACCGGCAACCTTGGTCATTACACACCTCACCTCTAACAGCTATATTGAGCTTCTCTCTCTGTATATATCAGTTGAACTTTGAGAAATACATATAGAACTAAAGAGAGTATTC